GAAGTTTTAATTTCGACATGTAATAATTCTTTATCATGTTTAATGTTTTCACTCGTTCGAATACATGATACTAATCCTAAATTCTTAACTGCAGAATCGAGTTCTGTAGTAATTTCATCATATTCTGTTTCAACCTAATATTGAGTATAAAAGATTTAGAATATCAATTGTTATTTTAAAAGAAATGATAAGGAATATTTTTATTAAGTCCAATTACCTTGTGATTAGTAATCAGGTTTACGAAAGGTATAGATTCACTGATATTATAAACAAATTTTCTACATCTTGTTATTACATGACCATAATTCTCTGAATATTTGTTCTTAATGTCCGCTGTAGATTTATCGAGTTCTTGGCTTACAACGCACATGCGGGATATTAACCTACAGCTAATAAATTTATTGTGTCCTGCTTTTTCAGTTATGTCAAATATTTCACAAAGTACATCATAAAATGGTATAAACATTTCAAAAGCACCAGTTGCTACGCTACCTAAAGTAGCAAGTACAGTGTCAGTATCTTTCTCAGAAGTAGTATAAATTTTATTGGGATCTATTTTATCATTGATTTCCTCAAAAGAATATATCGGTTGACATATTTTATTCAATAATGGCGTTTTTTTCATTTGATCTTCTGGAAGGGGTATAATACACCATTGAAGCGAATATTTAGATTCCCCTTTATCTTCTTCATCATCATGATAAGAGGTTTTCTCTTCATTGATTGATATAGTAAGTTCAATTTTATTATCTCGATAATTTCGAATACTAGTTGTGAATTTTGTCTCATAATCTGATAGAGGATATATTATATTTGTGCACATAACTGAGTTTGCAGGCAGATTTTCAGGAACTTTTAATATTAATGGAATGTTAGAATGTTTAATGGATGTAAATTGATAACTATTTAATGCCAATATAGGAATGTTTCGTGTGTTTACGCTATAAAATCCAATTTCAGAAGGTAATCCAACCAACATCCAAATTATTTGAAGATTCGTTATTTCACTGAAAAAAAAAAATAATAATAGTAATAAAATAAATAAATAAAAATCAAATATGCTTTAATTAATAAATGCTATATACAATTCAAACAGATAAAATGAATACCTACTTTGTTAACTTAAAATTTTCGATTAACACAGAAAACCCAAATATATTAGTAGATCGAAATTTAATGCTTGCTGAGTCAATTAATTCACCATTTTGTGATACAAGTTTTCCGAACATTTTATAATTACTTGAATTTATGCTATCGGGAAAATTTACACGATATTTATAAGTGGAGGCTTTAACTGGAACAACACCTGTAATAAGGACCCTTTCTTTAATCCCACTTTTTTTCGTTTCATCATCAATTCCAAGCACAAATTCAATTTCTGTTTGACAATGCTTATCAAATATTTTATATAATGGATATAATTCTTTCCAATTTATAACTTGCGATGTGTCGGGATCATTTTTTAATTTAGATATCCATTCTTGAAGATAATCTATCAAAATGTCGTCTCCATTGATTGATGTCAAATAGGATATGTCAAAATCTGAACTAATAAGGCTAGTCCATTCTTTTAAAATATTATTATATTCTATAGAATCACTAAAGTCAATCCATTTTGTACATGATTCTAGTAAATCATTTTTTGCAATTAAATGACAAGCTCTATATAATTTGTATCCAAATACTATCCTTTTAGGGAAAAAATAACCATAAGTCTCAAAGATTTCAATTAGTTTATAGTAAGGATTATTATGATCCAACGCCTCTTTCACGGCAATCTTGAGTTTCTCAGATGGTTCTATTTGCTCATTTTCGAGAACTATCTCTGCTTGTGGGCACAATATTGCTATATACACAGGAAATGATTGAAAATTTTCGCTTTTTTCCTTTTTATCAGTTAAACTCTCATCAACATTAGATATCAAATCATAATATTTCGAATTGATTGCGGAAGGATCGATTTCATTTTGCAATAAAAAGGTATCTTTAGGCTTTGTGGAAAATACCAATTTGATTTGGGATTTTTTAGTTGATTCATCAAATTCTATGATCTTTAACTGTGGCTTAGATTTAATTGCCAAGTTATCTACAAACTGTATTCCATACTTTTTGATTAATAAGCCATAGTAAAAAATCTCATTTTCAATTTTTGTTTCATTTGACATAGTTCAATGAATTAGTTTGATGAATTTACTCAGTTTAAATTACGTATGTACTAATGAAGTCCACTATAATAAATAGTCATAAAGTCACAGCGAAATGAAATACTTATGTGCACAAAGCCACTGACTCTTATGTTATTTTTGTCCTGTATATGCCTTATATGTACCACCTATTAAATCGGATATTACTTTCCGTGGTGATTTGTGTATGTGCAGCGTACGTACATTTTAGGAAATACAAGAACTACAATTTCATTACACGTAGGTTGATGTATGACCAAATAGTACATATATTCATTGAAATTACTACTGTAGGAAATATTTGATCTAAATATGCTATTGTTTTATATGTACATTTAAGGAAAATGTTATGGTTGTTAGATTTCTTGCATTGCAGCACGTACTGTACGTATGTATGCAAACGTGTGAAACTTAGTATTTTTGTTATTTACATAAATGCATTCTTGATTCCGTTGAATTTTGTTATCAAACTGAAAAATAATTTTACAAAAGCTCATAAGAAGATACCATGGGATATGGTGGTATTTGGGGAAGTCTTAGAGCTAAAGAAACTCAAGTTCGAGATTGGTTTATTCAAACACATAAAAATGTATTCAAATTTGATGAAAATAAATCCGTTGTGACAGCTTCCAATGAAGCAATAAAATCAATAACTAATATCAAAGTACATTTAAAACACCATCATGAAAGCCAAAAGAGAGCATGTGAGCATGAATTAGATGTTTTATGTAATAAGAATCGCATATTGGATGGAAAAATTAAAGTTGGATTACCTTGGCTTTCTATCTTTCTTGGAATATCACGCGATACCGTTAAACAAAAATATAAAAATCTTAAAGTATCTTCTGAGTATGTTAATTTAATATGGAAAGAAGCAGAAATCACTTTTTCTGAATCATGCGTTAAACCAACGGATAAGTTACTTGAAGATGTAAATGATGCATTGAACAAGAACACAACTAAAGAAAAAATGCAAGCACTTCTCAATATAACTGAAAAATATGGTAGTTTTTATGCATGCCGTCTTATTCTCGGTAAAGCAAGTTTCAATGAAAAAAAACATATTAGTAGCTCAAGTAAGTAAATTATTTTGTTTCTGTAAATAATTTATTCTATCTAAATTGATTACCATTTTCTAATATAGATGGAAATTTTGATGCTAAACATACTGAATTGCAATTTGGATTAGAGTTAAATTCAAAGGTAAACGCAGATTTAAAACTTGATAACAATACAAAAAATAAATCAAGAAGTTTTGATACCTACTCATATTCAAGAAATAAAGATATTGGTGATCGAGAAGATTATACTAAATGGGATATAATCGGATATGATGATATCCATTTAATATTTGATTTATTGAATGATGATTTACGAAAAAGAGTTTTAGATGTTTTAGGTCATCGAATCTTATCAGCTGGCACTGTTTCATTACCGGTTGATTTTAATAATACAAAACCTCTAGTTTGTTCATTAGAAACTGCGCGAACAAAGATTGAAAACATCAATGAATGTCATATTTTTGTGTCAATTACGAACGAAAACGACGGAAACGTTAATAAAGTATTTTCTTCGCACGTTGAATATGCAGATGAGTATACCCCTGAAATCGTTGTTTATCGGATTAGACGTAAAAAGAATAGATTTATTCGTGCAATTCAGCATAAAAAAGATATCAAAAAAAGTTATTCATTAAAACTTAATTGGATTATTGTTGGACAGCCAAAATATTTTGATTTTGATATGCTAGATTATCCAGTAATATTGAGAAGCTATAATTATAATGGTTTTAAAATGGAAAATAATTTTATACAAATTCCTATTGATAAAGTTCAAGATTTTAAAAAGGATATTTTGAAACTTCGAGAAACCTGCATATTGAGTACATGTGTGTTAAAAACAAGTGCATTGAATAACGATTTATATGATCGGAAAAAAGCATCTATCACATTTGGTACTCATTATTCAAGTTCCAATCAGGCTGTTTGCATGTTTGCTTACGATCTTAACGAAAATAAGAACCTCATTGATGAAAGAATTTTACGAGAATTGTCATTGCATATTTGGTAAGAAATATGTGATTTTTATTTAATTTTTGAAGCTTTAAAATAATTCTATTTCATTGTTTATAATAGTGCCGTTGAAGTAGATCCTTCCTACAGAACGTTCAAGTTCGGTCAGGCACAGATTAAATCGCGTATAGGGGACAAATCTAGAGACATATATTATGGTTTTGAAGAACCAAAGCTTAAAAATATTTTTGCTGGAAATGAAAATTTAATATTGGTGAACCAAATTCTGGAGTGTCCCGAAAATTGTAAGGATCATGGTACCGTCAATGTCAATATTGATAAAATTATTTATAAACAATTCGGCTCGCAACGCATAGAAGAAAGAGCAATCGCTTATCTTATAGTTCCACCAATAATTTCATCCGAACATTAAACTAT